CCCTTGCCCCCCAGTCCTCTCCCCTGTTCCCCTGGGGGCAGGGCAGCAGGGTGAGTGAGCAGCAGTTTGGCTGCTAGCCCAGTGCCAGCCAGGTGAAACCACCACGAGAGCTTACCTCCTCCACTATGCTATAAAGCTCTACCTTGTTCTTCCTCATCTCCCCATTGCAGGTTAAGCTGATCATCATTCTTACAAACTCGCATTCACCGCTAAATCTGATTCACACATCCGTGTCTTCTATCAGCTGCACCTCACAAGACAGACTTGATCAAATCAATCGATCCAACTGAACACACTAAAAAATACAACTGACCAAAACAAAGACATTCCGGAAAGACCCCTTATTGTTCACCAATTACCTCTGACAGTCCAGGCATAACGTTGTCATGCAAGCAGGGCAGTTCAAAACAGCATCACTATTTGGCACTGCTGAAGGTTTTGCCTGCTGCTGCTGCGGCACTCTTCTTTGGTTACGGTACCTACCAATTCAAGAGAGGAGGAAGGAGAGACAAAAAGTGAAATGATGTGCCCTTGTGGTTGGATATATCAATTCAGCCTCCAAACCTTTTTTATATTAACATACAGCAGGAAATATCTGGCTCCTCTGGACACCTTTTCAGTAACTCAAAGCACATAAATAAATACACTGGGGAGAAAAAAAAAACCCCACATACCAGTATCTTCATTTATTTTGTACAGAGGATTCTTATTTGGTGAAACAAATAAATCTAGTATGAGAATTTGTGCCTAATAACCCTCTCCTCTGATGAGGCAGTTGTCTCAAGTGCAGTCTCTGCAGGCAGCATACATTAATGTTATCCTTTTCAACAGATGCACAGGGAGAATTTTACTTCTGCTGCAGCAATGATTTTTCTACTTCACCCATCAAAAAACTCAGCTTTGTCCTGTTCTTATTTTATCTGAACATTTTGTGGTTTGCTAAATTCAAAGTTTTCCAAAACCAAATACAATATTTATTTTTTTTGCAGGAATGGATATTAATTTAGCAAAGTATCACAGGACATTAAAAATTGAAATTAGCAAATCTTACAACCTTTTCATTCCAATATGGTTGTTTAGATGAGATCTACAGACAACACTGGCTTACTGAACTAGGAAGTTTTGATTTTTAAAAACTGCAAATTTTAAAATGGTGTAAATTTGAAGACTCAACTTCCATTACACACATGTAAAAATTTTACAGGCTTTAAATTTCTACGCCGTAAAATCTAAAAAAAAATAATAATAATTACATAGGACTTGACAGCGTCGGCTTTTTCTGTATATTCAGAGTCTTCATTTGAATTTTTCACTTTACGTTAACCACGGTGCAATTCAAGTATTCATGGTCTCTTACCCCCTCCTCTGTGAGTCCACCCACTCTTGGTCTCGACTGTCTTCTTCTGGGTCATATAACAGTTCATCATTGGAAAGGATCCGACGCTGCTGATGTTTCCTGTTTTTCCGGACCTCCTGTGTAACTGGAATGATTTGTGCAAGCACGTGTTATATCCATCAGACATACGACGATCAAAATAATCAAAATATCAATGTTTCAGTTTCCCTTTTCCATACTCACAATAAATCTAAACTAAAACATAAAGGTCCAGCTCATCTCTCCTCCAAATGCGCCACCCCAAAGCATTAACAGACCTTACATACATCACAAGGTTGCAGGAACTACATCAAGATGATATAAGCTGGTAATTCCTCCCCAAAGGCTGCCTTGGCAAACAGCCCCTGACCCCCCCAGTGTACTCTACAGGATATGAGAGAGAGAGTGGAACTGTAGAGTTGTCCTCCTTTCTCCTCTCCTCAGCCATTACCTATTTTATCTTCATCCTCTGAATCAGAATCAAAGTAAATGTCATCATAGTATTTCAACGTGGTGGCAGGTCCAGTCTGCCCAGCACTGGAGGAAGTACCTATGTGTGAAATTAGAGACGTGGTAAGAACACTCCACCAAAAGGACAGCAAGTACACACCCCAGGGCAAAGCTTCCTTTTCCAGTTACTCTACTCAGAAGCGCTCTGCTTTATCTGGGTGTGTTAAATAACAGCTCTCCTGGTTTATCCCCACATCCTCATCATCCACATCGCTTGTGTTACTTCATTTACAGATGCTCTCTCAGAGCACAGCTGCTCAGTCCCTCTGAGATGAACCTCAGGTACAGTTCAAAGGACAGTTTCTCCCAGGGTATGCTCCCCTTAGGCACGGAGGACACCACAGCAAATCTGCCTGCCTCTGCCCTATATAAGCCACAGCACACTCCACAGATCTTCAGTCACGTGAAAGAAATACAGGTGTGGTACACAGTTTCACAAACTTTGATTACACTAAAATTCACTAAAAAAATCCCCCAAAATTTCAGGGCCACAGAAATTAAAAAAAGACGTAGAGGAATTGCCAAGCACATCTGTCACAGCCAGTCTGCACTAAAAATCCTGTTCCGTGCTGGATGGATGCGGTGGCATAACTATCGCTAAATTTTCTTAATTGCACAACTAAATAAAACCTACAGATCAGATTTGCCCAGTAACACAGATAACACTATTAAACCTGCTGA